GAAGTCTCTTTTCAGAGTCCTTCAGAGTCTTCAGAGTCCAGACCTCTTTCTGCATTTCCACATCACAATAGTAACAAATCTCAACAAATCCAAAAATAATTCTAGCAAAAGAGAATTATCTGAATTCGAAAATAAAAAAATGAAACATATTGAAATAAATACAGTAAGACATGAAAGTGAAATACGATGATGATTCCTACTTAGGCTGCTTTATAGAATAGAATAAACTAGAAAAAAAAAATGAACAGAATATAAAAGAATTGAATAAAATAGAATATAAAAGAATAGAATTGAATAAAATAGTATAGAAAATAAAGAAATAGAAAAGAATAAAAAATGAATAGATTAGGAAATAAAAGAATTGAATAAAACAGAATAGAAAATAAGTGAATATAATAAAATAGAAAGAAGAATAGAAAAGGATAGAAAATAAAAGAATACAATAGAAAATAAAGGAATATAAATAAAATAGAATAGAAAATAAAGGAATGGAACAGAATAGAAAATAAAATTGTCAAAAAGAAAATAGAGGAATATGATAAAACATTAATAGAAAATAAATTAATAGAATAGAAATAAAATAGAAAAAGAATAGAATAAAAAGAATAGAAGATAAAGGAATTTTATAGAATAAAATAGAAAATAATAGACTAGAATAGAAAGGAATAAAAGGATAGAATAAAATAGAATAGAAAATAAATGAATAGCATAAAATAGAAAAAGAATAGAATAAAACAGAATAGAAGATAAAGGAATTGTATGGAATAAAATTGAAAAAAGAATAGACAAAAATAGATTAGAAAATAAAGGAATAAAATAAAAAAAAGAATAGAAAAGGATAGAATAAAATAGAATAAAACAGAATAGAAAAAGAATAGGATAGACTAGAATAGGATAGAATGAATATAGCTGTCTTCCGATATTCAAATTACGATTGTCAAAATTTTAATGAATTTGAAAATATTGAGTATACAAAACGAATTCTGAAACAAGCTATTGTAACATAATGAATACGACGGAATGAAATGAGAGACCTAATGAACGAATCGGAAAGGAACCACATTTTCCCGTCGTGTACATCTCTACAGCCGAGTATCTTGCACCCTGTAGAAGCCGAAGCTCGGCATTGGTTGGTTGTGTCTTAGTGAGGAAATGGACCTCCTGGAGCTCCATGGATCCTTCTAAAGCCACCATCATTGCTGGCAGAATAATGCTGCTACCTGGTCTACCACCTTCCGAAGTTCTGCTGACTCCATGTAGCTGCTGGGTGAATTGGGACTCCTCTAGAACATTCTGAAGGACAATCCAATGATCAGAATATATTTTTACTTCCCGGGACGCCCAAGGTTTGTGTGGGTTCTGGTGGGAGTCACTGGTGGGCTCATCCTCTGGCCCTGTCCTAGCCCTGGTGGGCTCATCCTCTGGCCCTGTCCTAGCCCTGGGGGGTCATCCTCTGGCCCTGTCCTAGCCCTGGTGGGCTCATCCTCTGGCCCTGTCCTAGCCCTGGTCGGCTCATCCTCTGGCCCTGTCCTAGCCCTGGTCGGCTCATCCTCTGGCCCTGTCCTAGCCCTGGTGGGGTCATCCTCTGGCCCTGTCCTAGCCCTGGTGGGGTCATCCTCTGGCCCTGTCCTAGCCCTGGTGGGCTCATCCTCTGGCCCTGTCCTAGCCCTGGTGGGCTCATCCTCTGGCCCTGTCCTAGCCCTGGTGGGCTCATCCTCTGGCCCTGTCCTAGCCCTGGTGGGGTCATCCTCTGGCCCTGTCCTAGCCCTGGTGGGGTCATCCTCTGGCCCTGTCCTAGCCCTGGTTGGGTCATCCTCTGGCCCTGTTCTAGCCCTGGTTGGGTCATCCTCTGGCCCTGTTCTAGCCCTGGTGGGCTCATCCTCTGGCCCTGTTCTAGCCCTGGTGGAGTCATCCTCTGGCCCTGTCCTAGCCCTCGTGGGCTCATCCTCTGGCCCTGTCCTAGCCCTGGTGGGGTCATCCTCTGGCCCTGTCCTAGCCCTCATGGGTTCATCCTCTGGCCCTGTCCTAGCCCTGGTGGGGTCATCCTCTGGCCCTGTCCTAGCCCTGGTGGGGTCATCCTCTGGCCCTGTCCTAGCCCTGGTTGGGTCATCCTCTGGCCCTGTTCTAGCCCTGGTTGGGTCATCCTCTGGCCCTGTTCTAGCCCTGGTGGGCTCATCCTCTGGCCCTGTTCTAGCCCTGGTGGAGTCATCCTCTGGCCCTGTCCTAGCCCTGGTGGGCTCATCCTCTGGCCCTGTCCTAGCCCTGGTGGGCTCATCCTCTGGCCCTGTCCTAGTCCTGGTGGGGTCATCCTCTGGCCCTGTCCTAGCCCTGGTGGGGTCATCCTCTGGCCCTGTCCTAGCCCTGGTGGGGGGTCATCCTCTGGCCCTGTCCTAGCCCTGGTGGGGTCATCCTCTGGCCCTGTTCTAGCCCTGGTGGGGTCATCCTCTGGCCCTGACCTAGCCCTGGTGGGGTCATCCTCTGGCCCTGTCCTAGCCCTGGTAGGCTCATCCTCTGCCCTGTTCTAGCCCTGGTGGGGTCATCCTCTGCCCTGTCCTAGCCCTGGTGGGCTCATCCTCTGGCCCTGTCCTAGCCCTGGTGGGCTCATCCTCTGGCCCTGTCCTAGTGAAGGTCCTCGATGTGACTTCTAGGTTTTGCTCCTCACATTGTCCTCTTCTTATCTTGCAGCTATTGAGGGTCTGGGCCCGATTCCCGACCTCCTCTCCCAGCGGATGAAGGAGTTTGAGATACAGAGGGGTCTGGATCCACCTCCCTGGACGTCTTTTTTCAACAGCCCCAAGATTGGACGACCTTCCTGTTCCTCGTCCTCCGATTGTGACAGTCCTCCAGGTCAGACCTCCAGACTTCGTCCCCGCACCCTCTCCCTGGATGCTAAGCTGACGTCCCTGAAGAACCGGGGGCTGAGGATGGCCGACCAACAGTCTACCGGCCAAGAGTCTTCCGGAGGAGATGACAGTCCTCATCCGGAGGCCAGGAACTCGAGCAGCAGCGGGCGCAGCACCCCTGACTCTGAGAAGGGGTGTAAAAACCGCAAGAACATTAAGAGCCTCAGAACCAAACTGGACCCCCGAAAACTGGCTGCAGAGTCAGGTGTGACCCCTCTGCTCACATGACCAGAGTCCTGGACGGGGTGAGAGGCCAGAACCAAGTGTCCAACGGGCACCCATGTGACCGGCCTTGGCTCTGGTTGGTATGTACTGTGGACGCCCCATATCCAAACATGGGCACCCTACTTCTTCACATACCGAATTCACCTCATCCTCCAGGTAACACGGACACACCCAGCACTCCACCCACCTCAGGGTAACCTACAGACTGAACGGCCAGATGTGGACGAGTCTTCCTTCACATGGGAGAGTGGAAGCGGAGATCGTATCTCCATTGATACCGAGTCCCTCCTTATCCCACTGAAGGGCGATGAAAACCCTAAAATATTATTGTGCCATCCACTGCTGGGCACCAATGACACCCAGACTTGAAGCCCCTCCCTCTGAAAGGTGTCATGACTGCACATGACCTTATATGACCTTCCAGTACCTCCTACTGCAGGGTGACTGCTGGGAGCTAGGAGACAGGGAATATGCCCCTCCTACTGCAGGGTGACTAATGGGAGCTATGAGACTGGGAATATGCCCCTCCTACTGCAGGATGACTGCTGGGAGCTAGGAGACAGGGAATATGCCCCTCCTACTGCAGGGTGACTAATGGGAGCTATGAGACTGGGAATATGCCCCTCCTACTGCAGGATGACTGGTGGGAGCTATGAGACAGGGAATATGCCCCTCCTACTGCAGGGTGACTGAATGGGAGCTATGAGATGGGATATGCCCCTCCTACTGCAGGGTGACTAGGTGGGAGCTATGAGATGGGAATATGCCCCTCCTACTGCAGGGTGACTGTGGTGGGAGCTGTGAGACAGGACATGCCCCTCCTACTGCAGGGTGACTAATGGGAGCTATGAGACGGGAATGCCCCTCCTACTGCAGGGTGACTGATGGGAGCTATGAGACAGGGAATATGCCCCTCCTACTGCAGGGTGACTAATGGGAGCTATGAGACAGGGAATATGCCCCTCCTACTGCAGGGTGAGTGGTGGGAGCTAGGAGACGGGAATACATGCCCCTCCTACTGCAGGGTGACTGCTGGGAGCTAGGAGACAGGGAATATGCCCCTCCTACTGCAGGGTGACTAATGGGAGCTATGAGACAGGGAATATGCCCCTCCTACTGCAGGGTGACTGATGGGAGCTATGAGACTGGGATATGCCCCTCCTACTGCAGGGTGAGTGGTGGGAACTGTGCTGGGAGCTAGGAGACAGGGAATATATGCCCCTCCTACTGCAGGGTGACTAAATGGGAGCTATGAGACTGGGAAGTATGCCCCTCCCCCCTGCTGCTAGGGTGAGTGGTGGGGTGACTCTGAGACAGGGAATATGACCCTCCCCCTGTAAGGCAACCATAGTATGGGGTTCTGTCCCTCCCCTTGCAGGGTGACTATAATATGTTGGGTCTGCCCCTCACTCTCCAGGGTGACCATAGTTTGTGGGGTCTGCCCCTCCCCCTGCAGGGTGGTGCTATAGGGTATGAGGTTGAGGTCTGCCCCTCCCCCCGCAGGGTGACTATAGGTTATGAGGTCTGCCCCTCCCCCCCTGGGTATGAGGTCTGCCCCTCCCCCCGCAGGGTGACTATAGGTTATGAGGTCTGCCCCTCCCCCTGTAGGGTGACTATAGGGTATGAGGTCTGTCCCTCCCCCCCCCTGCAGGGTGACTATAGGTTATGAGGTCTGCCCCTCCCCCTGCAGGGGGGTGACTATAAGGGTATGAGGTCCGCCCCTCCCCCCCGCAGGGTGACTATAGGGTATGAGGTCCGCCACTCCCCCCCGACTATAGGGTATGAGGTCTGCCACTCCCCCCCGCAGGGTGACTATAGGGTATGGGGTCTGCCCCCCCCCCCCGCTGGGTGACTATAGGGTATGGGGTCTGCCCCTCCCCCCGCAGGGTGACTATAGGGTATGAGGTCTGCCCCTCCCCCTGCAGGGTGACTATAGGGTATGAGGTCTGCCCCTCCCCCCGTAGGGTGACTATAGGGTATGAGGTCTGCCCCTCCCCCCGCAGGGTGACTATAGGGTATGAGGTCTGCCCCTCCCCCCGGTCTGCCCCTCCCCCCGCAGGGTGACTATAGGGTATGAGGTCTGCCCCTCCCCCGTAGGGTGACTATAGGGTATGAGGTCTGCCCCTCCCCCCCATAGGGTGACTATAGGGTATGAGGTCTGCTGCCCCTCCCCCCCATAGGGTGACTATAGGGTATGAGGTCTGCCCCTCCCCCCCGCAGGGTGACTATAGGGTATGAGGTCTGCCCCTTCCCCCCGCAGGGTGACTATAGGGTATGCCCCTATCCCCCCGCAGGTCTGCCCCTCCCCCCTGTAGGGTAGTACACCCCATTGGCAGGGCCTGATGCAGCGTACAGAACAACCCAACCCCCGCAGTCCTGTGCAGACTGGCATCCTCAGGGGAGGGGCCACGTTCCATTGGCTGCCGGCAGTGAGAGAGTTAAAGCTTTATGATAATCATCACTAACAGAGTATTATAATGTGATAATAAATCTTTATTGCCAAGCTCCGCCTCCTCCTCCTCCCCCTCATGTCGGGGATTTCAGGTCACAGATGGTGTCACTGATGGTGTCGGAGGGTTCATGTGAGCTCCATTCACCTTCTACAATCACATTGTAACATGTCCCAATCTCCAATCACTGACCTGCCCGCTGGAGGATGCACACGCGTGTTGTCACGTCTGCAACAAAGTAACCCGAGGAAGTTCTCGGACACGGGACAGGCGCACACGCTGACCAACCATGTGAAGGACACCCGATGCAGCACCAGTCACATGTCAGAGATCACATGACACCCCACTCTGTCACCAACCCAGTGCAAGGTCCTAATGATCAGCAGGGACAAGGGGTGGGCAGGAGGGGCAGCTGCCCCAGGTGCAGAGAAGCATTCAGGGTGGTACACCCATACTCTGGTGGGGGAGGGGGGGGGGGGCAATTCTGGATCCTTGCCGCGGGCGCTGGGTGACCCTGTCCTGGAGACTGAATAGTAGCCTTCCGATGCCGGAGTCACCATTCAAGTATTTGTAGACTGTGACCGTGTCTCCTCCTACGCTTCTCTCCTCCAGCGGGAACAAGTTCAATGTTTATAGTCCTTCCTCATAACTGGGGTCCTCCATCACCACCCAACTGGGGTCCTCCATCACCACCCAACTGGGGTCCTCCATCACCACATAACTGGGGTCCTCCATCACCACCCAACTTGGGTCCTCCAACCACCATAGCTGAGGTCCTCCATCTCCTATAACTGGGGTCCTCCATCACCACAATAACTGGGGTCCTCCATCGCCACCCACATAACTGGGGTCCTCCATCACCACATAACTGGGGTCCTCCATCACCACCCGACTTGGGTCCTCCATCACCTCATAACTGGGGTCCTCCATCACCACCCAAACTTGGGTCCTCCATCACCACATAACTGGGGTCCTCCATTACCACCCAAACTTGGGTCCTCCATACCCATAACTGAGGTCCTCCATCTCCTATAACTGAGGTCCTCCATCCCCCATAACTGAGGTCCTCCATCTCCCATAACTGAGGTCCTCCATCCCCCATAACTGGGGTCCTCCATCTCCCCTAACTGAGGTCCTCCATCTCCCCTAAACTGAGGTCCTCCATCTCCCCTAACTGAGGTCCTCCATCCCCCATAACTGAGGTCCTCCATCTCCTAACTGGAGTCCTCCATCTCCCCATAACTGAGGTCCTCCATCCCCCATAACTGAGGTCCCCCCCATAACTGAGGTCCTCCATCTCCCATAACTGAGGTCCTCCATCCCCCATAACTGAGGTCCTCCATCTTCCATACTGAGGTCCTCCATCCCCCATAACTGGGGTCCTCCATCTCCCCTAAACTGAGGTCCTCCATCTCCCATAACTGAGGTTCTCTATCCCTCATAACTGAGGTTCTCTATCCCTCATAACTGGGGTCCTCCATCTCCCCTAACTGGGTCCTCCATCTCCCCCATAACTGGGGTCCTCCATCTCCCATAACTGAGGTCCTCCATCTCCCCTAACTGAGGTCCTCCATCTCCCATAACTGAGGTCCTCTCTATCCCTCATAACTGGGGTCCTCCATTCCCCATAACTGAGGTCCTCCATCCCCCATAACTGAGGTCCTCCATCCCCCATAACTGAGGTTCCCCCCCCATAACTGGAGCCCTCCATCCCCCATAAACTGAGGTCCTCCATCCCCCATAAACTGAGGTCCTCCATCCCCCATAACTGAGGTCCTCCATCCCCCCATAACTGAGGTCCCCCATAACTGGAGCCCCATCCATCCCCCATAACTGAGGTCCTCCATCTCCTATAATTGAGCTCCTCCATCCCCATAACTGAGGTCCTCCATAAACGGGGTCCTCCATCCCCATAAATGAGGTCGTCCATCCTCCATAACCGGGGTCCTCCATCCCCCATAGCTCATGTCCACCACCCACCACCATATATGATGTTGGTGTGGTGAGTAATAATGGAAGGCACCTCAGTAAGTCCTCAAACGTTCGGCTTGTGAACATTCAGTGGTGCAAAGGTGGGTATTCACACCCAAACGGGCTGAGGGGAACAAAAAACTGACAGATCGCCATACCAACGCAAGTGATGTTGCTGCTGCGATCTCCCCCGCTGTGCTATTGTGTTCCTGCAGGGGGATGGATATACATGGAGCTCAAATGGCACACACCCCTCCAGACTGCGGCCATGCACGATGACGTCACTGCCTGGACACCGACCTGGTGTTTGCACACTTGCGTCTTCAGGGGAAAGCGGAAATGGCAGAGACATCATTATGAGGCTTTGTAGAAAATTACCCGCCATGACACATAAAAGGATCCTGAGCACCAAGCTGTCCAGGAAGTTACATAGTTAGTCTGGTTGAAAAAGGTCCATCCAGTTCAACAACCCAACGTGACGTCATCGCGCACAGCAAAACTCCGAGTGTGTCATTTGAGCTCTATGTATATCCATTCCCATGTAATTGCGCTGTGTGTGTGCTCAAATGGCACACACCTCTCCAGACTGCGGCCATGCGCGATGACGTCACTGTCTGGATGCCAACCTCGTGTTTGCACACTTGCGTCTTCAGAGGAAAGCGGAAATGGCAGAGACATCTTATGAGGGCTTTGTAGAAGATTACCCACCATGACACATAAAAAGATCCTGAGCAGCAAGCTGTCCAGGAAGTAACACCCAGGGTGACGTCATCGTGCACAGCAAAAGTCAGAAGCAGAGTGTGCCATTTGAGCTCTATGTATATCCATTCCCATGTAATTACTCTCTCTGTGTGCTCAAATGGCGCACACCCCTCCAGTCTGCGGCCATGCGTAATGATGTCACTGCCTGGACACCGGCCTGATGTTTTGCACACTTGCATCTCCAGGGGAAAGTGGAAATGGCAGAGACATCTTATGAGGGCTTTGTAGAAGATTACCCGCCATGGCAAATAACAGGATCCTGAGCAGCAAGCTGTCCAGGAAGTTACATAATTAGTCTGGCTGAAAAAAGACAAATGTCCATCCAGTTCAACCACCCAGGATGACGTCATCGCGCACAGCAAAACTCCAAGTGTGCTTTTTAAGCTCTATGTATATCCATTCCCATGTAATTGTGCTGTGTGTGTGCTGAAGTGGCACACACCCCTCCAGACTGCGGCCATGCACAATGACATCACTGCCTAGACGCCGACCTGATGTTTTGCACACTTGCGTCTTCAGGTCAAAGTGGAAATGGCAGAGATGTCATTATGAGGCTTTGTATAAGATTACCCACCATGGCACATAACAGGATCCTGAGCACCAAGCTGTCCAGGAAGTAACACCCAGGGTGACGCCATCGCGCACAGTTACATAGTTAGTCTGGCTGAAAAAAGACAAATGTCCATCCAGTTCAACCATCCAGGGTGACGTCATCACGCACAGCAAAACTCCGAAGCGGTGTGTGCCATTTGAGCTCTATGTATATCCATTCCCATGTAATTGCGCTGTGTGTGCGCTCAAATGGCACACGACCCTCCAGACTGCGGCCATGCGCGATGACGTCACTGCCATGTAATTGCGTTGTCTGTGATTTCATACATTTTTAAGGGTTCGTGCACTTTGGAGATCTTTTCCTTTGTGTGATTGCGGCTTGCTGTGCGGACTCCTCGGCTGATACCGGAGTCGTTGTTTCGGGGGTCCCAATTCCTGGAGGTCAGTGTCAGCGGATTGACGTTGCTATAGGGATAAAAACAAGGGGGTTCGGGGCTGGATGGTGGGGTCAAACCATCTGGAAAGTGACCTGTTTGCTCACAAATTTGTTTTGCTTCCCCGAAATACCTCAATTAAGGGAAATAGCACATTATGGCCACTAGATGGAGGTGGAGATCCAAGGAAATCAACTTATTAGGTCAAATACAGTCGGTGTTGGTGGTGGGGCGGGGGAATGCTGGCGACATTCGTCCAATGAATAGACCCCAAAGTGTAAAAAGTATCTAAACCATCAGACAGCAATGATCACCGATGATAATTAAAGAGGTAACAACCATCATCTGCTGTATCCATATATAAATAAATAAAACGGGGTCTGGAACTGTCCATCATCCACCAAAACATCGTCCTTGGAGATAAAGTGATCGGTACAAGATGTGCCTTGTTACCCCCCCTCCTTGCAACGACTGATGGGATCCCTGAAGAAGTCACGTGACTAGAGACGCAACGTGTTGGGGCGGAGCTGGAAAAACGAAGCTAATTCCATTCCATGGGGTTGTACTGAGCGCAGTGAGGCTTTGTTTACATTTGGCATTGGATGCGCTTTTTTAAAGCTCTGAATGCCAATCGCAGCCCCTCGTCACTAAATAAAGTGCTGTTCACACGCTGTGTTTGCTTTGCTTCATAAATGACCCCCAGTGTCGCTTTCTTGGTGGGGCACTAGCAAAACTGGGGGTTACTATTGAACTGGGGATCTGCACAGCTGGTGGTACTACTGAGCGCGGGGGATCAGCAGAGCTGGGGGTACTACTCAGTGGGGCATCAGCAAAGCTGGGGGTACTACTGAGCTGGGGATCTGCAGAGGTGGGGGTAATACTGATCTGGGGATCTACAGAGCTGAGGTTACTACTGAGTGGGGGATTAGCAAACTTGGGGGTACTACTGAGTGGTTGATCAGCAGAGCTGGGGTTACTACTGAGCGGGGGGGATCAACATAGCTGGGGGTTACTACTGAGAGGGGGATTAGAAAAGCTGGGGGTACTACTGAGCTGAGGATTGCAGAGCTGAGGGTACTACTGAGTGGGGGATCAGCAGAGCTGGGGTTACTACTGAGTGGGGGAT